AACAGTAAATACAAGTGTAAATGTAGAAGTCATAAAGTGGTCAGTGATTCATTTTTCTTCATCTACTGCATTTATTTTCAATCCTTCTAACATTTTTTCAGATAGAATTTTTAGACTACAAGCATGTTGGTCTGCTTTTTTATGTGCATAAAATAATTAATAAATAGGAATCCTTTAGCGGTAGCAGGAGGATTCAACACCTTGCCCTCCATGCGGTAGCGATGGAGACCTGTGGTATTAAACGACTTGTGGTGTCCAACCTAATCACTTAACAAACTGACTTTTGTCCCAGGAACTTCCCCATTTTTTTTCTTAAATTGCATGCTAATATTGCATACTTTCATTTTAATTGCATGACATTCAATTATCACGATCACTAGCACAACACACTCCCAGCCACCAACTAAATCCTTTGCTCCAAATTGTCGGTGGAAACTAAAAAGCTTCTTTCAAAACTCAAAAAGCTCAAAAGCCAGACTTGTTTTTCAAAGCTTCCATTTTTTACACGCAGTTCACAGCAATCACAGTCAAAGAAACAACTAAATTTTCTTTCACCCCCAAAATCGATTAAAGTATACAATTACTCTTTACCTTAAATTTGAAGTTTTTAACCAATCACTTTATATTATGAAGTTGTTAATCTTAAACTTAAACTTAATATTATGAAGTTTTTAACTTTAAACTTAAACTTAAACTTAAAAATCTGAAGATTTTAGCCCTTGACTAGTGAAATCTAGTTGACTATCTTACTTAAAGTAAAGTAAGAATAAAATATTTATAAAATCAATTTTCAAAAATAAAAAATGTAATAATTTAGTTTTAAATTTTAAAAATTGATAAATTAAAAATAATTAGTGAATGTATTTATTATGTACATAAGAATATTAGATATCTAAAATAAAATTGAGTGATTAGTTCAATCTCAAAAAAAATTTGATTGAAACTAAAAAAAATTTATTACCTGTATTCTTTTAGTTTCTTGAAATTTTTATTTTGACTTAATTAATTTTTTTTTTAATTTTAATTAGAATTCTTTTTTTTTAATTGAACTAATCATTCAATTTATTATAAACATTTAACATTGTTGTAATATACATTAAATTATTAAATTTTTAATTTTTGAGAATCGATCCTGTAAATATTTTATTTTTACTTTAACGAGAGTTGACGAATTTTGTTCCTCAAAGGTTAAAACCATCAAACTTTTAAATTTAAAAATTAAAAATTTCATAATATAAAGTAAGAGACTAATGACTTCCAACTTAATAAAATAAAAGATTAAATGTATGGTTTAAACCCCAAAATCACACCTCCGTTCATTCACAGAATAAAAATGAAAAAAAACTCCAAATTTTACATTCAATACATATCTAGTCACCCTTCCAACCCCTTTTTCCCAGTCATAGGAGGAATAAGGAGATATGAGAGTATTTTACCTTCTTGTTGGCAGCCTAGAGTCCAAAAGCCGTATGCTCTGAATTTCACCCATCTTCTAGTCTCCACGCCATCGAACTTATACCCAAATCATCCCTGTCCAAAGAAAGCGAATGTTAGGATAATAATAAAATGAAAACTGAAAATGATAAACAAAAATAAAAAGGGGTATACCCGCCTGATTGGACGGTGACCCTGAGTTTCCCGGCAAGCTGCCGGATTCATTCTCCTCTTTTCTTTTTCCGGCCATTTCCTTTCCCTTGTCTACCCACCAACTTGGTTGCTCTCCACCGCCGGCTGACAGAATCAAATCCAATCTCCAGGGCCACCCTTCCTTTTCCTATCTCCACCCCCATCTCTGAATCAAATCGTTCCGCTCAACATTTACCGTGCCCGAATCAATCTTCCCCCTTGATGGCTAAAGATAGAGAAAAGGGAAATTGAAAACAAATAAAGGGTCTGCAAATGGGATTAATAAGGAATTAGGGATTTTCGATATAACTAATTTAGTCAAAAAAAATTATGCTTTGAAAAATAAAATGATCAATGGATAATCATTAGTTTTAAATATACTATATAATTATTTTGTTCGTTATTAAGAAATTATATTCATCATTAATTCATTAGGAATTTGCAAAGAAAAATTGGTTCGAATTAATTAAAATTTAAAATGAAAAATGATAAGAGCTACGAATGAGAGGATGTGACACGGGCAACAAAAGTACGTGATAAGTCACGTTTGTTGCTGACGTGTATTTTTAATTTATATATATATAATGTTACTCTATATATTAAATAACATATGCATTTATATGTATATATATAATAATAATAATAATATATAGTTGTGAAAGCTATGCATGTGGGCTCAACACAAGGTTTGCATCCAACCTAAAACCAATTGGCTATAGGTGGAGTGGCCATATGGGATTTTCCCACTTAACATGCCCCCTTATATGCAAGCCTACTATAAATGTCGGGTCTCGTAACATGGCTTAACACGCCCCTTTATATGCAGACCCACTATGAATGTGGGGTCTCGTCAAGTGACGGAATTTGGGCTCTAATACCAGGTGAAAGTTATGCACGTGGTCTCAACACAAGACTTGCATTCAACCTAAAACCAATTTGTTATAGGTGGAGTGGCCTTCCTTATATTTAACCCACAAACTTCTTATTTTTATACTCCACGTGGGATTTTCCTAGTGTGGCTGGTTAAATACAAGGAAGATCACTCCACTTATAACCAATTGATTTTAAATTGAATGCAAGTTTTGTATTGAATTCACATGCACAGTTTTCAATAATAGTAATTTTAGTTCTATTATATATATAATGCTATTCTATCTATATATATAATGCTATTCTATGTGCATTAAATAAGGTATGCATTTATTTAAAAAAAAAGAAGAGGTATTTGGATTTTTATTTTTTCTGGCGATACATTGTGGAGAAATTGCTCGTAGAAAATATGGAGCAGACGTGGAAGGTAATGTGGATCATGTGATCCAGGTAGAATGTGGAGGTGGGCCAGTGTGATCTTCTCTTGGGCCGATAAAAATTTGTGGAGAGCCCGCCGTGTCTCCCGTTCATTACTCTATGTTCACCTCTTTACTCGACTTCCCACTTGTTCTTTCTTTTCTTTCCACTGCATCAGACATTGTTTTCTTCTCTGCTAAAACACATCAAACATTCTCCATTTTGTTAAACAACATCATTTATTACAAATTAATCCCATTTCTCTATTTCTTTTTTTTTTTTTTTAAGAACAAATGATCACAGCACCTTGTTAAGTCTATGAACTTTAATTAATTAGTAGTACCACAAGTAAGTTTACTTACAGTTAATAATACTAAAATTCATGTTATATATATATATATATATATATATGTTGTTAGCAAGTGCATTTAAGGTTTTGTCCCAGTGAAGCTCATTCCATACATAACCACATTATTAGGGATCACCAACCCTACTTCATTTTTTGTTTCGGCCTTGTTAATTTTCTTTAGTTAATACCTCAAAATGGTTTTTTAATGAGTTTTTTTAATTTGTATTTTTATAGCATTGATTAGGAATATAATAAGTATTTTATATAAATTTGTGTTTCAAAACTAAAATTTAACTTCTAATTTATCAAATATTTAATTAAATTTATCTACTTAATAACAATGTTAAAATAAATATTAATTTTTATATATAGTTATAATAAAAAAATGTTATTCTTGATTTTGATGATTTAAAAAAACCAAATATGAATTGGAATATTTATTTGCGAGTACATTAGGATATGTTATTGATTTGGATTGAAAGTTAATTGTGAATATATGATTTATTGTCAAATATTTAATTTGCATGTATTTCCTTTTTAGAGAAAGTCTATTTAATTGTATGATTATGTTTCCTTGTTGTGGGAAACCAAGAACAAAAAGTGCATTCTACCATATAATTCTGGTTTTTGAAGTATTTATGCAGAATATTCTTCAATGGGAAAAAGCATTGATTTAGCACTCTCAAGGAACATAAAATCAGATCTGAAAGAGTAGAGAAGAAGAAAAACAGAGACCTGAAGTTAGAAAAACCAAGAGCGTTAAGCTTTTACCTTGTGTTTTGAGAATTCTCTTACTTGTCTTGTTCTCTTTCATTGTAACAAGTGAGATAGGGATTGAGGAAACCTTGTTTGATCTAGGGATCCATCCTTAAGGTGTAGGACGGGTTGAGAGATTTGTAATAAGGGATTCAAACGGTTGATAGCACCAGCAAGCTATTGTAATCAGTTTCACTAGCACCCGTTAAATCTTGAGTGTAGGAAACTTGAGGACTGGACGTAGGCACCAAAGAGGGTGACAAACCAGGATAAATCGAAGCGTTTGATATTTCTTACCCTACTTCTTTAATTCTTGCAATTTAGTTTACAATAGTTTATTGATTGCTTGTGCTTGATCATTGCTTTATTTAAAAATTGCATAAGGTTTTTGAAACCCAATTCACCCTCCTCTTGGGTTGCCATCTGGGCCAACAAAAAATACTATTAATTGTGACTAAAAATACATATTAAAATTTAGGGTGTATGTTAGTAGCTTAATTAATCTCATTTCTTTCTGAAAACTTCATGCATCTATAAGTTTTGGATTTAATTAACCATATTAATGTTACGCGGTGTTAGGAATGAGCCCAACACCCAATCTGGGCCCTGCACAGTGAACCCATTCATGCATCCAAAAGCCCAAAACGAACCCCAATGTGGGTACACTTGTACAATTATCTAGACGTACCCACGTGGGTGGCAACACGTGGGATAACCAAATGTTTACACGTATGGCCTTTATCATTGCGGGGGGCTATAAATACCCTCACCTACCTCCATTCAAGGCAATAACTCCACTATGTTTCCCTCTCTGCAATTACTCGTAAGAGCTTTTCTCTCTAGAACATTGAATATTGCTAACTTGAGCGTCGAAGTGTTTTCCCTGAGGAAACATCCTCAGGTTTTTCAAGTGTAGAAGCAGTTGAAGATCTTTATAGTGTAGGTTTGTGAAGTTGCACAAACATTTGGCTATATCTGTGGGAACCTAACAAAAAAGTGGTGTTGTTTTACCGATTGAGGTTAAACACGGTACGTACCTTTACAAGAAGTCAACCTCCTCAATTGCACAAAATGGACAATCAGAGTAATACTCAGCTTCCGGAGTTTAACCCCAATGACTTTCGACCAATGCCAAGAAACCTCTTTGTAGGAGGAGCAAAAGAGGAGTAGTTAAGTAGCTCTGATGATGAGCGGACTTCTACGGGATATGCCACCTAGCCCGAGGAACAATTCCAAGCTCCGGGAGGCACGCAACAAAGACACCCCGTCTGCAACACATCACGGTCAGGTGGGCCATTAGAATCAGTTCGAATGTCCGAGTTGGAAGAAAGGACTAGAATACTAAAAATGGCTATGGGAAGAATCCTTTCCCAGTTGATTCCTAATGACCCATTAATTCCCTTACTAAGTAGGGGTGATCACCCTGTAAAGGTAGTTGCTTGTAATTACCCGGCTTTGAGCAAGATGGTTGTACCAACAAAGTCGAGAGGAAGTGAGAAATTAAACCTCAAGCCCAACTCATCCAAGCTCAACAAAGAACTATTGAAGAAGAATAACAAGCTCGAAAAGCAACTTGACGGTATACAAAAATCCATTGACAAGCTGAAAAGTCTAAGGTCGCGTCAACAGGTGCTCGACCTAGACAGTGCTCTTCTTAGCATGCCCATAACAGTAGAGCCTTATCAAGAAAGGTTCAAAATCCCTCATTTAGAGACATATAATGGCTCAGGTGATCTAGATGAACATTTACACACTTACCAAGCCATCATGAAAATATAAAATGCAATAGATGTAATGATGTGCAAAGTATTTCTGGCAACTTTAAAGTTGATAGCCAAAAAATGGTACCACAAACTCTCGAGACATTCCATCAACTCTTTTTCTCAACTTGCCACTTTGTTTTCTAACAAGTTCGCGAGCCAGCGAAAAATAAAGCGCACAGCCACCAAGCTGATGTAGGTTCACCAGAAAGAAAGGGAGTCATTGAGAGATTACATGCAACGTTTTAACAAAGCTACCTTAGACATCGACAATGTACCTGACACGATTTGCCTGTCCACCTTGCTGCATGGCTTAAAGCCAGGCTGATTCTTGGATGACTTGCTAGAAAACCCTCCTAAATCGTGGAATGAAGTGAACAACTGGTTAGCAAGCTTCATCTTATTGAAAGACTTTTAGTTATCCAAAAGACAAATTGATGGTAAATAGCATAAAGAAGACAAGCAGCCAGATGGAAGGGAAGAAAAGAAAAAGTAGAAGGTTGTTGATCAGAGGGGAAAACTACCTAGCTTCCCAAAATATGCAAATTACATTCCTTTAAGCACGTTAAGGTCTCAAATTTTGGCACAGATCCAGCATTGGATCAAGAGACCACCACCTTCCCTTCATGATTCAACACGAACAGACATGAGCAAATATTGTGATTACGATCATGGATATGGTCATTATACAGAAGACTATCAGAGCTTGAAGGACGAGCGAGAATTTGGGAAACTAGAGGAACACATCCAGAAATCCTACCCTTAGCAGCCCAACCAAACCCATTACGTGCAAGACTACGGTTGACCTCATAGGCAAGGGTATCAGGCCGGTAGCATTCAGAACTTATACCAAGGGAATCAGTACTCTTTTGAACTCGGTAATGGCTACAGAGGACGTCAGCCTAACAAAAGAGGACAGGGATAGAGAACTGCTTCCAAAAACCAAAAGGACAATAGGGGGATAGGTTACACTAGAATCCCTCCACCCTCAGGCACAATAAATATGATCTTTGGTGGAATGCATGCAGAGGGACAAAGTGCCTATGGCCATAAAGCTTATGCTCGTTAAGTGATGACAATGAACAAAAGTAGGCCTTTAAAATGACCATTTGAAGAGGCAGAGTGAGAGAATGCAACTATCACATTTAGTCTGTCAGATTATAAAAGACCAAAGGGAGAACCTGATATTATTATGCCTCATGCTGATCTATTTATAGCCATTGTTCACATAAGCAACCACAATGTGAATAAGGTCTTCATTGACATGGGCAGTTCTCCCAACATCTTATATTGGAATTGTTTCTAGAAAATACAATTGAACTCGGCCTCTCTAAAGAAATATGAAGGACTTATATATGGATTTGATAACCAACCGACCCTGTTGAAGGGGTGGTCACCCTTCCCATATATGTGGGGTCTGAGCTACGATACCGGATGGCATCTATGAATTTTTTAGTTGTCAGGATGGAATTGTCATTTAACGCCATAATTGGGAGGGCCACATTATGCGAACTAAAGGCTGTCATCTCTCAGCCACACCTGTGTATGAAATTCCCAACTCCTCATGAGATAGGAGTGCTGAAGGGAAACCAGAAGATGGCGAGGACCTGTTATCAAGACATGTTCAAGAAGGTGGAACTCGTTGCAACACCTAAAACTTAGCCCTCGTAGGTTCCTCAACTAAACTAGCCAGGTCTACAAACAATGAGCATCTCTATCATAGATCATCGACTTGAGAATGTGGAACAAAAGGCCGAGCCAATAAAACTTGTGGAAACTGTTTCCTTGGATTCCGAGGAGCTAGAAAAAACTGTGAAAATTGGAACTAAGCTCACAGCGGAAGAAAGGAGGGAGCTCTTGGAGTTTTTAAAAGCTAATAAAGACGTCTTTGCCTGGACAACAGTTGAGATGCCCAGAATCCCAACAGAGTTTGCAGTTCATAAACTTAGCACATATCCTACAAGGAAGCCAGTGGTACAAAAGCTTGGTTCTAAAAGGCAAGTTGCCATAGATGAAGAAATATAAAAGCTATTGCAAGCAGTTTCATCAAAAAGGTGGAATATTCAGAATGGGTATCTAATCATGGTGCTTGTTAAAAAATCTAATGGGAAGTGAAGAATGTGCATTGATTTCACAAATTTGAACGATGCATGCCCTAAAGATCCACATCCCTTGCCCAATGTTAAAAAGTTGGTAGAACAGGTAGCTAGTCATCAACACATGAGTTTTTTAGACGCTAGCTCAGGATACCACCAAGTCCAATTGTGGCTAGACGACCAAAAGAAAATGACATTTTATGCAGGCGATGCAATTTATTGTTATTTGATGATGTCGTTTGGACTGAAGAATGCAAGAGCCACATATCAGAAATTGGTTTAGTTCGTCTTCAGACTTCAAATTGGCAGAAATATTGAGGTCTATGTTGATGATATGATTGTTACAAGTTTATGAGCTAAAGATCATATTAACGACTTGAATGACACATTTCAAACCTTGCACCAAGCGTAGTTGAAGTTAAACCCCCTCAAGTGCACGTTCGGTGTGGAGTTAGGCAAGTTTCTAGGATATGTAGTTTCAAAGAAAAGGATTGAGGTGAACCTAGACAAGGTTCAGGCCATCGAAGAGATGGAACCCCCCAAAACTGTGAAGGATGTACAACATTTGACAGGTCGCCTTACTGCCCTGAACAAATTTATTACCAGATCAACAGAGAGATGTCTCCTTTTTTTAAAGGCCCTGAGAGAGCCCAAGAATTTCCAATGGACAAACAAGTGTCAACAGGTTTTTGAGGAAGTAAAAAAATATCTGGCGTTGTCGCCACTCCTTTCCAAACCCGTTGATGGAGAGAGCCTATACATGAATTTGGGTGTCATAGCTGAGGCTGTGAGCTTGGTCTTATTAAAAGAGCAAGACAGGAACCAAAAGCCCATTTGTTATACAAGTAAGGTCCTACAGGGTGTAGAACAAAAATACCTAGTTGTAGAGAAAGTTGTTTTCGCCCTTGTTTATACTGCTTGAAAATTAAGGGCGTACTTCCAATCTCATCAAATTATTGTTTTTACTGACTTACCACTGAGGAAGGTCTTGTAAAGACCTGAGCTTGCTAGTCGATTGATTGGATGGGTTGTCGAGCTCAACGACTACGACATCAAGTTTGAACCTCACACGGCTATAAAGGGCCAAGCCTTGGCAGACTTCCTAGTTGAATGCCACTTAACAGATGTAGAAGAAGTTATAGCTTTACATCCCATATGGGCCTTTTGTGTGGATGGGGCTACGAATGTTAGAGGATCTAGGGCTGGGGCAGTGTTAGTTGGCCCATATGGGTTCAAGTCCAAGCACACTTTAAGATTCAAGTTTAGTGCAACCAATAATGCTACTGAATATGAAGCACTCATCTATGGTCTAAAGTTAGCTTCTGAGCTGAGAGCACAAAACATAAAGGTCTTCAATGATTCTCAACTTGTCGTGAATCAAGTGAACGAGGACTGTGATGTTAAAGATCCTCAGCTTGTGCATTATTCTTCTGTTGTCAGCCAGTTAAAAACGGGTTTACTGCCTTCTGGATTGACAAGATACCTATCATAACTCAAATTTTTATTAAAAAAAGAAAGAAAGAAAATATATTTTAATTAACGTTATCCTTTATGTTTTAGGACTTGATTTTTCATTTAAGTTTATTTAGACTTTTCATGGAATAGATATATATATATATATATCAATCACAAAATTAATCAAAAAAATCATTAAATATAAAAATATGAAAATTTCTCTTTTCTTGACTAATATATCTTTATTTTGTTTCAGGTGCTACATGCAAAAAGAAATTCAAGAAATGGGAAAAGAAACTCAAGAAAGGGACTTAATTGAAAAAATTTGAAGGGCAAGGCTAAATTACAAAAAATCATACAAAAGCCTTCAAGTTCAGCCCATTTCTCAAACCGATCTCAAATGGCCCAAAAATCAGCCCATCAAAACCCAAACCCAACAATGAAAAAAA